AGAGCCAGTGTGATGGACCCTAGACTCCAATCTCCACAGCTGCTTCCTGCAGCTCTCCCAACTGACACAGTCCTTTCTCATGTTCCCACCTATGAAAGTGCTCACAGACTCAAGTGTTCTTTCAAAACTACCATTGCCTCTAACCAAAACCACCAGAAGACTGCTGAGCAGGAAGAAATAAAAATTTGAACATGTATAGACAAAACTCCAAGCACTCCACTATGTGGAGGTGTTTCCTTTCCCCCGCCCCCTTCCTGGCTATATATCTAGCTCTCCTCTGGTTGACTTCCATTTTAATTATATTAAGATGTATAAAAGAAAGGAAACATTCCCTCTATAAACTATACTAAAGTAAACTAACTCTAAAACAAAATTTATAGTGAAAAAAATAAAAATAGTATAGTGAAACTCATGGTCATACAAAGAAAAGGAAAAAAAACAATTAGATTCAGGTTTCAGGTTTAACTTGCATCAGACTGTCACTTGGCAGGGCCAACACACTGCCTAGCTCTCCATCTTCTCCACATTCATTTGATTCTGTTTGGTGGTTTCTTTGCTTGGTTGAGGTAAGGCCCCATTATATAAATCAGGCTGATCTCAAACTCATAATCTTCCTGCCTCATATCATACAAATGATGGGACTATCGGCAGCTTCTACCATGGCTAGCTTCACACGATGCTTCCAAGGTCTAAATTTCACAAATGCAGCATCTGGGGTTTAAAATTTTGACATACATTCTCAAATACTATACAGCTGTTTGTTTAGTACAGAAGCAAACAGACACTGATTTATCAGAATCGTCAGTCATACGCTCAGAAGACTCTTTAACCTTGAAACCATGTTTACGTCTACCTTGAATACCTGAGAGTTTAAAATACATGCACAGAGAAGAAAACAACAGGACTTTATAATGTTTGTAGACCTTAAAAGTTTTATTATAGTTCATATGTAAAAATTATAGAAAATGTATACTTATAAATACTTACATTGAGAATCACTATGAAAATATTTTAAACATCAATAAAATAGTTGTTATTGGCTTAAAACATTCACACTTTAGATATTAGATCTTAACAAATTCTTAATTATATACAGATTTTCAGGTAATTAGAACATGTTCCTCCAACAGAATTTTATATTTTACAAATCAGTGACTGCCATAGAAAAGTTGGATTAAAAATAATACAAAATAAGATTTTGGTTTTGAAAACAGTTTCTCAAACTCTTAATCCTCATACTCCAGACACCTAAGTGATGAACTTACCAGTGTGCACTACCATCCTGGGTAAGAGTAATCTTTTACTGGTAGAGGTACCTTGAAAGATTTTTACAGACTTTTTCTTCATCCCACCATGGGTAGCTTATAGAGACCTGGCTTTGAAGGTCTCAGCTCAGAGTCACACAGAACTGTCAGAGAGCAAGCAATGGATTCCAGGTGCTTCTTTTGTTTTCAAACAAACACACTTTCCAAACAGGGAATTCTCTCAGGTACAAAGACACTTAGACAACCTACTTGCACCTCACCCTGTAAGCACAGAGCATGCTGGGTATTGGAATCACATATTAAGGCTGCTGGATTCAGCAGATAAAAATCACAAGATATCCGGTTAAATTCAAACTGCATATAAGCAATTTATAATGTATGTGTGTCCCATGTGATATTTGGACCACACTTAATACTAAAAATTATTATTATTATTATTATTATTATTATTATTATTATATAAAGTATTGTTATTTATAATAACAGATTATTATTATGTATTTAGAAATCACAACCAACAGGGCATCGATGTTTTAGCTGGCAACTCTACTCTTCACTGGAAATCTGTCTGTGGTGAATGCAGACAATTTCACCCTATGTGAGACCTGGAGCCCTGAAGGTTCTAGAGATGGGACACACTATTTCTTTCTTCCATGTTGAGCTTTACCTAGATAAATTCTACTTTACATCTGCATAGTGTGGTGCTAGCATCATTCATCCACAATTCCCTTGCAACACATGGAAAACTGATTTCTTTATAATTCCTACCATATTCATAAACTATAACCAAAAATTATAGTAAATTGACTAGGAAATTCCTGACCAAGGACACAGACTCAAATTTTTACTCTACCCATTATCTGTCTTTGCGCAAGAATGTGTATCTCTTTAGGGCTTGGCCGGTTTGACTTTCACAGCCCTTACAGTTCCAACATCTTAGATTTCCAGGCTCCTGTGTAAACTAAAATGTGTCATATTTTTAGAGGTGAAACCGAGGTCATGTTTACATATTTTAGAGCAATACTTACAGCTATGTGTTAAAGAACACTAAAGTACTGCCTATAAGATGGTCTTTACATTTTCAAGACTCACTAACTTACACAGACAAGCTGATGTCAATCTCAGCTCATCATGCTCCTACCTCAGACTTCCACATAGTGTTGCAAATTCCCCACTATGCCTTTATTGATGATGATCATTATATTTAAATGAAGTTTATCTATTTAAAAATATACCTGCAGGCTAATGATATACCTAAGATAATTTCACAAATTGTAGCTGTACATAAAAATACATTATTTTGTTTTGCCCACATATAAATTTTAAAGATTTATTTGTATTTTCACACACACGCACAAACACTGTGTGTGTGTGTGTGTGTGTGTGTGTGTGTGTGTGTGTGTGTGTACACATGGACACATGTATGCAGGTGTGTGTACAGGCCAAAAAAGGGTTTCAGATCCCTTGGAGCTGGCATTCAGGTGGTTATCCCCTGCCCAATATGGATCCTCTGCAAGAGCAGCAAGCTCTTTTAAAAACTGAGCCATCTCTAAGTCTTCCCCACTGTGTAATTTTAAATATCTATGGTTACCTGGAAAGCCAGTAATGACTCACATTTATTCTAAACCACCCCAAAAGCAACTGTCAGACTTACGAATCCATCTACATGAGAACTCCAAGATAACGTAAAGTAGTCACAGGTCTGACGACCTATGATCTAGATCTGTATATATCTACACAGGTCTATGTTTGCACAAAACCTAATTCCAACTTCTCGATGAGATTCTGCTGGAAATCCCATTCCTTGTATAGAGATGATCAGGAACAAAGCATCTTGCCTTCCACTAACTAACTAGCTTCTACCAGCATGATCACAAATGCCTTTCTCTAAGTAATATTCTGTGATCCATCAGAATCTAGATGCCAGGCATTCATTTTAAATGCTTAAATAACATATAATGGAGAAAGCACTTCATCGCCAATTTGATGAAAATGACATAAAGTTAAGCAATTTCAGATTTGCCACGAGGCATGGGTCAGAGTGTTATAGGATTTTCCATAAAATAGAGGACTTTAGTTAAATCTGAAATTTAAATTCCAGTTTGGAGCATAATTACAAACTTATTTGAAGTATTTTTGTTTACTGAATCTGGCAATCCCATGTGGGCTCCCTGATAGTTGGTATTTGCCAGCTTACACATTTCCCTTTTGGTTTTTGTTTTGTTAATTTTATTTTTTGAGAATTTCACATAGGAACACTGTATTTACATCAATTTTACTCCTCTCTTTCTCCTCTCCTGCTCATCACATGCCCCCAACTCCCTCTCAAATTCATGACTGCCTCTTTAATTATTGCTACATATGCATAGTATTTGCATATATATGTAACAAGTACACACACACACACACACACACACACACACACACACACACACACACCATCTACGGAGAGCACAGCCTACCGAGGCCTTTCAGTGTTGTTCATATGTGCATAGGTTTAGGGCTGACTATGGCTGGATAACCTATCAGGGAGAAATCTCATCCCAGAGAAAACCGACTTTCCTCTCGGCAGCCAGTGATGCTCTTCCCACCCCACTGCCGTGTCAACTGCTGTTATCACTATGCAGGTCTTGTTTAGACAGCCATAGTGTTGAAATTTCATGGGTGCGGCTGTCCTGCCATGTCGGGAAGACACTATCTAGCAGTAGGTACCCTGGTCCTCTGGCTCTTAGAATCTTTTCTCCCCCTCTTCCACGATTCTTCCTGAGCCTTGGGTATAGGACTTTCATCACAGATGCATCAATTGTGGCTGAGCATGTGAACTGTCCTTTCAGACATAAAGCCTGATCAATAGGAGGGAATTTATGTCTGACACTGTAAGTCTAGTCGGCTACCTGTGGATGGACCAGTCATGGACCCTAGAGACAACCTGCTGTTGCCATTCTTATAAATCTAGTCAGCTACCTATGGATGGACCAGTCATGGACCCTAGACACAACCTGCTGTTGCCATTCTAATAAACAAATAGAGTCTCTAACTGTATTCTAAATAGTTATTCTCTCTTTTACCCACAGATAAGTGCAGCTCTCACCCTCATTAAAGAAGTTTGTTTTTGTAACTGATGTACATTGTTACGGAGATCCATAACTGATCAAACTGCAATCATCTTTTCTCTAAAACATTTCTTTCTATTTTTATTTTCATCCTATAGTTGAGAGGTTAGACCTATCGCAGCCATGAAGAGATGAGTAAGGCTATGTGTGTGTGTGTGTGTGTGTGTGTGTGTGTGTGTGTGTGTGTGTGTGTGTGTGTGTGTGTGCGCATGCAGGTATGGGAGTGTACGCGTGCTCTCCTGAGAGCAGCACACATGTGGAAGACACAGAGGACAATGTCCAGTGTCAGCCCTTTCCTTTTGCCTCGCTGTTGGCTGTCTGTCACCACATGCGCCAGGCCAGCCGGCATAAAAATTCCTGCAGAGTCCCTGTCTCCAATTCCTGTTTCTCGTCAACGGTATTATGGTTACAGACCCATCATATAACACCAGCTTTTAACACAGGTTCTTGGGACTCAAACTCAGCTTCTCACACTTCTGTGCAAAAGCGTGACCTACTGACCCCCCCCCAGCCCCCGCCATCATTTTCTGTGCCATCAGCATCCACTTGCTTTATCAAAATCATATTCCTACCATTAGAAGTCTGAAAACACGCATTCTGGAAATAGTAACGCCGTTCATACCTGTGAGTAGTTTATGAGGAGTCCACTTAATAAAACATTCCTTTTTTTCAGTTCCTTTGCCAAGTCCCTGATCCACCTCAGGCTTTCCATCTTCTGAGTGGGCAGGACGAAGGTGAAGTCGAGGCAGTGCACCTGCAGGGCACAAGCACAGCATTTCTCCTCAGCATTCCTCTTGGAGGAAAACGAAACACAACCGCCATGTTCTATTAATTCTGTTCATTCATGTTAACAATTCCCAATGTCTTTTAGGCAATAAATGCCTAATAAGTGGATGGTGCCTCCTTTATAAATATGAAATAAATGCTCAATGAGAATACATTGAAAAATACAAAATGCTACAATTCTGTTGCAAATCATACCAGTTTTATAAAAACATGATTGTACTAATTAAGTTTAATTAATGATCTACAACAAGGTTCATTATTTCTTAGCCTATGAAAAGCTAATAATATTAAGGGAAGTAACTTTGTATGGTACTTTAGAATATCTGACATCTCTAATAAATAATTATCTATGTCTAACAAACCCCAAGCAATTTTTTTATGGAACATTGTTTTTAGCAAGGTCCATATTCTGGAAAATATGGCATTTTGGTAGGGAAGGACTCAGTTTTCTTTAAGGGGTTGGCCACTGAGAGTTGGAGCAGGCCCCAGTGAGTACATGAGCAACACAAATTGGACTTGTATATTTTTTTCTTTTGGGGGGAAGGCAAGAGGGTGGGAGGGTAGATCTGGGAGGAATAGGAAGTGAGTGTGATTGGCGTGTATTGTGTGAAATTTGCAAATAATAAGAATACTATGTTGAAAACATAAATAAAAATTAAAAAAATAACTGAAATTTAAAGGATCCCAGGTTGAGCCTTCCTTAATTCTACAAATTATTATAGTTTTTTCCAAGATAAATGGTTTTTGGTTTTTTGCGACAGGGTTTCTCTATGTAGCCCTGGCTGCCCTAGAAATCACTCTGTAATCCAGACTGACCTTGAAATCAGAGATCCACCTGCCTCTGGTTCCCAAGTGCTAAGATTAAAAGTGTGCACCACTACTGCCTGGCCCAAGATAATTTATTAAGTGGAAACATAACACAATGTTCTTACAGGAAACTGCCTAAATCAGTACTTCTCAGCCTGTGGTTCACAACTCCCTTTGAGTCAAATGACCTTTTCCCAGGGATCATCTAAGGCCATTGGAAAACACAGATATTTACATTATGATTCATAACCATAGCAAAATTACAGTTATAAAGTAGCAACAGAATGATTTTATGATTGGGGGTCATCATAACACGAACTGTACTAAAGGGTTGCAGCATTAGGAAGGTTAAGAACTATTAGCCTAAATGATGAAAACAAAAACCCATGAGTAAATGTGTATGTTTTTTGAAAGACCTAATTCAAAGTAATCTTTTCAGAATTAGAAATTTCCCTATTACATATGCTTACTAACCAGAGACACTTTAATGTGTACCCCACCCTGTAGCTAGAGTCTTCCTGCCTGGCCCACAGTCAGGACAAATCTCTATCTCCTGCCAGTCCCACAGCCATCAGACCCGACCAAGTAAACACAGAGACTTATATTGGTTACAAACTGTATGTCCGTGGCAGGCTTCTTGCTAACTGTTCTTACAGCTTAAATTAATCCATTTCCACAAATCTATACCTTGCCACATAGCTCGTGGCTTACCGGCATCTTCACATGCTGTTTCTCATCCTGGCGGCTGGCAGTGTCTCTCTCTCTCTCAGCCTTTCACTTCCCAGCTTTATTCTCCTCCTTGTCCCGCCTACACTTCCTGCCTGCTGTGGGATGTTCTGTATGGCAAACGTGTTGCTGATTAGTCAATAAATAAAACATTGATTGGCCATTGGCTAGGCAGGAAGTGTAGGCGGGACAAGGAGGAGAATAAAGCTGGGAAGTGGAAGGCTGAGTCAGAGAGACACTGCCAGCCGCCACGATGACAAACAGTATGTGAAGATGCCAGTAAGCCACGAGCCATGTAGCAAGGTATAGATTAATGGAAATGGATTAATTTAAACTGTAAGAACAGTTAGCAAGAAGCCTGCCACGGCCATACAGTTTGTAACCAATATAAGTCTCTGTGTTTACTTGGTCGGGTCTGAGCGTCTGTGGGACTGGCAGGTGAGAGAGATTTGTCCTGACTGTGGACCAGGCAGGAAGACTCTAGCTACAAAACCACCCTCATGCTCTTCTATGGAAACTGCCCTCTGCCCTGCTCTCGCACAAGGAAATACATTTCCTAGCAGGCATCCATTTTATTATGTTCCTTCTATAGCACACAGGTGCTGTGGGATGGTCTGTATGTCAAATGTGTTGCTGATTGGTCAATGAATAAATCACTGATTGGCAGTGGCCAGGCAGGAAGTATAGGCGGGACTAACAGAGAGGAAAATTGAGAAAACAGGAAGCTGGGAGGGAAAGACACTGCCAGCCGCCATCAGGACAAGGAAGATGTAAAATACCGGTAAGCCACAAGCCACGTGGCAAGGTATAGATTAATAGAAATGGATTAATTTAAGCTGTAAGAACAGTTAGCAAGAAGCCTGCCACGGCCATACAGTTTGAAACTAATATAAGTCTCTGTGTTTATTTGATCGGGTTTAAGCGGCTTGGGACTGGCGGGTGAGAGAGATTTGTCCTGACTGTGGGCCAGGCAGGAAAAGTCTAACAACAAATGGCGTCCAACGTGGTGGCAAGAGTTTCCACCTAAAACCTGAAAAAAAAGATTCTAAAACGGAGCTAAAAACAGCTTCCTAATTGTCTCTCTCAAATGAGCGGCAGCTGCCGGTTTGAGCTACTGGCGGGTTGCTGGCGTGCGCGCTCGACCTGCAGTATGGCGGGAATGAGGCCTCTACAAATGGCACATTAAGCTACATTGTGGATTTAGCCTTTTCTAGTACAAAACAAAAGAGGTTTCTGGGCTACACGCTGCTTGGATAAAAGCATAGACCCACGATAGCTCCCAGAGCTGGTGGTAAAGTACCACCGCCATGTTGGGAAGCTGAGGTGGGCGGAGCCAGCAGCCACAGCTGCTGCAGCTTAAAGCAATAGATTCACAATAAGACAGATTCAGATGTAATAGTTTAAAATGTGTGTAAAATATACGTAGGCTTAAAAGAGACAAAAAAAGGTGATATATACAGTATAGAAACAAATACATGGTTTTAAAAAATAAAGTCTTTAAAGAGACAGTAAAATTAATATAAAAAATAAGCCACGTAGAGATGACTATTACACAGAGAGTCTGGATTGTGTTGTCTTTGGGATTCTTAACTACAGAGAGATATTTGATTGTAAAGGAAGCTGAGTTAAACCAGTATGTATATTTTAAAGATACTTTGACTTCAAAATTTGGATGTAAGGATATGTTGCTTTGGAAAAGAGTCTCTTTTGTTTCCACAGAAAGCAAGAGGCTATGGATTTGTTCCAGATTAAGACACATCAGGTTTGACCAGCCAAGACCACCTGAAAGGTCTCCGATGACACCATGGCCCAGATAATCCAACATCCAGAACCGTTTCAAGGCAACTGGCTCAGACAATACACCCTCATGGACTACTCCATGATCCTAAAATTTTCTTTGTTTCCCCAGAAGATACAGCGCCCCCCTCCAGCAGGAAGTAGTAAGAGAAGCTACGCCCTAATTCCCAAATATACCAAACTGACTTTGGAGATGTGTAAAGGTTAAAACCTTCCTTTTTAAGAAAAGAAAAGGGGAGGTGCTGTGGGATGGTCTGTATGTCAAATGTGTTACTGATTGGTCAATGAATAAATCACTGATTGGCAGTGGCCAGGCAGGAAGTATAGGCGGGACTAACAGAGAGGAAAATTGAGAAAACAGGAAGCTGGGAGGGGAGACACTGCCAGCCACCATCAGGACAAGGAAGATGTAAAATACCGGTAAGCCACAAGCCACGTGGCAAGGTATAGATTAATAGAAATGGATTAATTTAAGCTGTAAGAACAGTTAGCAAGAAGCCTGCCACGGCCATACAGTTTGAAACTAATATAAGTCTCTGTGTTTATTTGATCGGGTTTAAGCAGCTTGGGACTGGTGGGTGAGAGAGATTTGTCCTGACTGTGGGCCAGGCAGGAAAACTCTAGCAACACACAGGAACAAGGTTTTCTACCCTAACATTGCATTTTTCTTTTCCAGGGAAGAACATTACATGAAACCCTTGCTTTTTCATTCACTGCTGCAGATTAAGCCTAGGCCCTCACACATGGCTAGCATGCATACAATCACTGACTTATGTCCTAGCTCCTATAATGCTCATTTTTAAAGACACTGAGTCAATGATTTTTAATAGATATTAGTTCAATAGTTATTCAATAAGAATGTTTTAGAACTTGTCATTAAACATAGTTAATTGAAAATAGGTACATAAAGAAATTGCCTTTAGAAATCTAAAATGACATAAATACAATTATATGACAAAGAAATAACTTTAAAATGACATTCCACAAAGAAACTAAAAGAAAAAAAAGCAAGAAAAGTAAATGTTTTTCAAGAAAATTAAAAGCAGAAAGGCTTTCCAATGAGTTTTGGCAGCTGACAGTATGGGATGAGACGGTGTGACCTTGGAGCCTCGGGATCTCCTCCTCCTACCACTGCTTCCCTGGAACATCATCATTCAGGTAGAATTTCAGCGCTTAGCTCCTGTCTTGTGAGCACAGCATGGCCAGAACTGTAAATGCACTACAAATGCCAGACTTCCCACCAATGCAGTTTAGCTTGTTAATCAGGGTTTGGAACCCAAGCCCTCCATGCCCACTAGCTACAGCAAGAGGTGTTGGTTCCTAGTTAGAAGGATGGCTCAAAAACCACATTAAAGTTGATGAATTAAAGAGATTCCTTTATATCATTGATCAAACTACATCTTATAGATATCCTTCCCATGGATTTGTAATATTGAGTGAACCCAAACTGCTGGTGATAGGCTTACAAACAAAAGGCAATCTAACTTACCAAACTGTAGACAATTGCACAAATTGCAGTCACGGACAGAACATAGAGTCAGGGGGTTGACTAGCAGGTACAAATCCGCTCCTTAGTCATGATGGCAGAGACTGTACACCTTGGTGCTAAACCACCTTGCCTGAAAGACTACGCCTGTA